AATAAAATTAATATTTTACAATATTACATCTAAAAATTTTCGTGACAATATTATTTTGATGTGCAGCCAACATTGGGTGTTTATCACTCTGTAGAGTTGGCCTTACAATTTCTGAGCAAGCTAAATTAACCCACGCTCACAAATTCCCCCAACAAAATATCAAAGGTGTCACAATAGGCACCACGAGTTATAAGTCAGGTGTTAAATGTATTTAACATTTTAATAATAATTAAAATTTAAAATATAATGCTACCGACTCTAACCACGTTTATAAAAATTCATATCACTTTCTCAAAAACAACGATTTGAACCGAACCCATAATAAATATGTTGAAAAAATATATATATAATACTATCATATTAATAATTTTTCATACCTAACCTTCAAATTGTACCTGTTAAAAAAACAAAAAAAAAACGTGTCGCAAGACAAACCATTTACTTTATTTTTGTTTCTTCCTAAACCTCGGAGAAAATCTATCCTCCGTTCGTCCAAAAAAAAAAAAAAAAAGAGAGAGAGAAAGAAAATCTATCCCCTGTATTTCCAATCCAATCCTCATCCTTCATTCTCCCAATCCAACGGCCACTACCCGTCATATCCTTAACCATATCCACCCCAAAACTGCAACTAATAGAAGGAGGACACTCCGCCCTGCTTAGTCGCCAGCCCCCAGTCCCCACTGTCGACCCCCACTCCAAAGCCCCGCTGATCATGAGCTCCATTGCGTTCAAATCCTTCACCGGCCTCCGCCGCTCCACGACGGCTCAACCTCAACCCAACACCCACTTACCTCCTAGGTCCAAACCCGTGAAGTTCCATGTTACTGCCGCCAAAACGTCTCCCAAACTCACCAACCGGAACCTCCGAGTGGCAGTCATTGGAGGTGGTCCAGCGGGCGGATCTGCAGCGGAAACCCTCGCCAAGGGTGGCGTTGAGACTTTCCTCATTGAACGGAAGCTTGATAATTGCAAGCCCTGTGGTGGTGCCATCCCGCTCTGTATGGTGGGCGAGTTCGACCTCCCTTTGGACATCATCGACCGTCGCGTCACCAAGATGAAGATGATCTCGCCGTCGAACATTGCAGTGGATATTGGGCAGACCCTGAAGCCGCACGAGTATATTGGGATGGTGAGGAGAGAGGTCCTGGATGCGTATATGAGGGAGAGAGCGGCGGAGAACGGCGCTCAAGTAATTAATGGGCTGTTCCTGAGGATGGATGTTCCTCGGAGATGGGACGAACCGTACGTATTGCATTATAACGAGTACGACGGAACAAAGGGCGGCACCGGACTGAAGAAGACCTTAGAGGTCGATGCAGTCATCGGAGCTGACGGCGCTAATTCCCGCGTCGCCAAATCGATTGGAGCCGGCGATTACGATTACGCCATTGCATTTCAGGTAATCCATGAACTCCTCTGTACTCCCAATTTTGATCTTGATAATTAGAAACTAAATTAATTAGAATTAAACATTCAATTTGATTACCAGAATATGCATTTTCTATTCTAAATTTCGAAATTCTGCTGAATTTTCTAAAATTTGCAGGAAAGAATCAAAATTCCTGATGAGAAAATGGCATACTATGAAAATCTTGCTGAAATGTACGTCGGTGATGACGTCTCGCCGGATTTCTACGGTTGGGTTTTCCCTAAGTGTGACCACGTTGCCGTCGGCACAGGCACCGTGACTCACAAGGGTGACATCAAGAAGTTCCAATTGGCCACAAGAAACAGAGCAAAGGACAAAATTCTCGGCGGTAAGATTATCCGAGTGGAGGCACATCCAATCCCGGAGCACCCCCGGCCACGCAGGCTTTTAGGGAGGGTTGCCCTCGTTGGAGACGCGGCCGGCTATGTCACTAAATGCTCGGGCGAGGGGATTTACTTTGCGGCCAAGAGCGGGAGAATGTGCGCGGAGGCGATCGTGGAGGGGTCCGAGAGGGGGAAGAAGATGGTGGAAGAAGGGGATTTGAGGAAGTATTTGGAGAAATGGGACAAGACGTATTGGCCGACTTACAAGGTGTTGGATGTGTTGCAGAAGGTGTTTTACAGGTCGAATCCGGCGAGGGAAGCGTTCGTGGAGATGTGCGCCGATGAGTACGTGCAGAAGATGACGTTCGACAGCTATTTGTACAAGACGGTGGTACCGGGGAATCCGTTGGACGATCTAAAGTTGGCTGTGAATACTATTGGGAGCTTGGTGAGGGCTAATGCATTGAGGAGGGAGATGGAGAAGTCCAATGTTTGAGACCAAAATTATGTTTAATTTAGGGAAAATTCGGTAGCATAATGTTCCTTATGCCAAACTTCTATGTAGTAAGAAGGATTTCACATTTGTTTTTGAATTTTGGCTATATATTACTTGTGTGTTTACGTGGTTTTATATATGATGACGATGATGATTATTATTATTATTATTAAATTTTGGTTATATATATATATATTTTTGGTAGAAAACGAGAATATATAGATTAGATAATAGTTACATCCCTGGGAACTGAGTTCCCAATAGTGTCTGAGAGCAACAACATAGCAACATTCATATTACATTGTTCAAAAACAGCAAAGGGATTATTTAATCTAGTGCCCATTTTGGCTAAGCAGTCTGCAATCGATCGAGTTAGCTTCACGGTAGATGTGAGTGGTCTGCACATCAGGGAGCTGGCGTAGGAGAACCCTGCAGTCAGATATAAGCACAGCAAGTGAGTGAAAATTACAATTTTCAGCATGCAAAAGAGTAAGAGCAATACGTGAATCAGTCTCTAAGATAAGCCTATTATATCCCCTAGAAACAACAAGTTTAAGACCGTCACGAATGGCCCATAACTTAGCCGCAATGCTAGTAGTGTGACCAATGTTACGAGAAAATCCCAAGATCCAATTTCCCAAGTGATCTCGGAACACTCCTCCGGCTCCTGCCATGCCAGGATTTCCAAAAGCAGATCCATCGGTGTTTAACTTGATAGCCCCTTCAGGAGGAGGATTCCATTTGACAAAGATAGTGGCTTTGCCTGGGAGTTTTTGTTGCTTAGAACTGTAGTACTTTTGAAAATCTACAATTCTTGATTGAATAAGATCACATGCCACATTAATGGGAAGATTTTTTCCCTCATGAACAAGTTGGTTTCTGAGATACCACAGAGACCATATAATGAAAGAAAAGATGGTATTCCACTTTAAACCTCCCACATTGGTTTGAAGGCAAGAGTGGCTCCTCAACCAATCAGCAAAATTAAGGTCAAGAAACATAGCATTAATGGGGAAGGGGGTGAGGGCATCCCAGAGAAGATTAGAATATGGGCATTCCCTAAAAAGATGATTAAGAGATTCTGGTTCCCTTTGGCACCTAGGACACAAATCAGAATCAGCAATACCCCAAGCAAAAAGAACCTCTTTAGTGAGAAGTTTACCATGTCTTAATTGCCAAATAAAGTGTTGGTTTTTAGGAAGGGAGTGTATATTCCAAACCCAAAGCCAAGATTCCTGAAGCTCATTAGGTATGTTCTTGGCTAAATAATAAGCAGATTTAGTTTGAAAAAGACCATTAGAGGAAAGGCCCCAACAGAAACCATCCTGATATTGAGACACAGATTGGATGGTAATGGCCTTAATTTTGCTTTTAATATCTTCAGGGAGTGGATATTCAATGCTATCCCAATCCCATTCGCCAGAAGGGCGAATAACTTCATTTATCCTGAGGTTTTCCCCATTCAGGCTAAAGGGGCCGTAAAGGACCTCATTGAGAGGTCTGTTGCCAACCCAATTATCCGACCAGAACAGAATTTTGTCACCTGATCGAGGAATCCATTTAATCCCCTTCATGAGGATATGACTCCCTTTTGCAATATTATTCATGACAGGGGATAGCTTTTTAAAGTTGCTTTTTGGATTGTCAATCTTATATTTCTCACAAAAGGCTTAGGACCATAGTTTATCTTTTTCAGTGAGAAGCCTCCAGTGAGCTTTAGCCATGGAAGCTTGATTAGCTTCCTTGGATGATCTAAGGCCTAGACCTCCAACTTTTTTAGGCTGGGTAATCCGTTCCCATGATACAAGATGAGGTCTCCTTCTCTCCCTAGAAGTTCCCCAAATAAATTGTCGAGAGAGATAATCAAGTTCCTTGTGAACAGCCTCTAGAAGGTAAATACCTTGCATATAATAGTTAGGAATGGCAGATAGAACCGAGGATGCAAGAGTAATTCTTCCAGCCCTGGAAAGCATATTGGCTTTCCATCCCGCCAATTTAGTTCTAACTTTGTCCACAATAAACAAGCAATCTGTTTTTGAGAGCCTTTTTGGGGTGATAGAAAATCCAAGGTACTTCCCGAGAGCAAAGGTTTCATTTATAGACAGTTTAGAGCAGATATCTAATTTAGTAGCCACGGAGACATTACAAGAAAATAGAATTTTTGATTTGGCGAAATTAATCTTTTGGCTAGATCTGTCACAGAAGAACTTTAATAGGTTATCCAGATATACAGCATTGTCCATAGAAGCTTTGCCTATGAATATTAAATCATCAGCAAAGAACAAATGTGAAACAGTAGGACCCATTTTCCCAATCTTAGAGCCATTCCAACCATCGTTCCTAGCCTCTTCGCTAATCTTAATAGAGAGGAATTCAATGCACAACATGAAGAGGTAAGGGGAAAGGGGATCACCTTGATAGAGTCCCCTAGATGGTTGAAATTTATTGGTAGTGCTACCATTGATAATCACGTTGAAACTGGTGGATGAAATGCAGGACATGATAATAGACACTAAAAGTGGAGGAAAAAAAAAAAATAATAAGAGCCTCTTTAATAAAGCTCCATTCCAATCTATCATAAGCTTTCTCAAGATCAATCTTAATGATCATATCCCCACTTCGTCCTTTCTTTTTAGCAAAGCTGTAGACAAATTCTCGAAGAAGAAATACATTATCAATGCCCCTTCTCCCTGGGACAAAGCTAGATTGGAGGGGGGAAATAAGATCCCCAATCAAATCTTTAAGACGAAGCACAATAATCTTAGTCACAATTTTGTAAACAACATTGCAAAGCCCAATAGGTCGAAATTGCGATATAGTTTCAGGATTTTGAACTTTAGGAATGAGACAAATGAGACTGTTATTCCAAGATTCTGGCATAGTTCCAGTAGAGAAAACTAGCCTAATTTCATTGCAAAGCTTGGAATTAATAGAATCCCAATATTGTTGGAAAAAAGCTGCATGAAGGCCATCTGGCCCAGGAGCCTTCCACGGCTTCATGGACTTAACAGCAAACCAGATCTCGGCATCAGTAGAGGGGGAGCACAAGATCACCCCAACTGCCATCATTAATTTTAGGCCCTCTAGAAATGCTTTCAAAAGAGTCATGAAAAGAGTGAGCCAACGATGTATGGTAAAGATCTTGGAAGTGTTGAAGAATAGTAACTTCCAAAATATTAGAATCATGGATCCAGCTACCATTAGCATCTTTAAGACACCTGATTCTGTTGAAAGTTCTTCTTTTAAGAGCAGTAACATGAAAGAATCTGGTGTTTCTATCACCATCTTCAATCCATTGGGTGCGAGATTTAAGGAACCACATGTCCTCTTCATGTTTGAGGATAAGTTGGTATTCCTTGGTAAGGTCTTTTTCCAATTGCAAAAGAAAGGTACTGCTTTTGAATTGAAGAGCTTTTTGAATACCAGACAATCGGGCAGATATTTCTCTTTTCTTTTTCATAAGATTGTCAAAGGTAGCTCGACTCCAAAGTTTAACAATAGATTTGAAATTCTCAACACAATCCGAAAGAGAAAGATCATTTAAGGCCCAGTTAGCATGAACTAAATCTTTAAAGGAATGGTGCTCCATCCAAAATTTTTCCATGCGAAAAGGTTTCTCCCCTACCTTGGGAATAAAGGGGTCAAGGGAAACCACGATTGGACAATGATAAGAGATAATTCGAGGGAGGTGTTGGACAAAAGCTTCAGGAAACTTTTCCTTCCAAGAAGGATTGGCCCAAGCTCTATCTAACCTCTCCCTAATAGTTTGGTTATTCTCTCTCTTACCCACCCAAGTGTATTTTGGACCATGATACCCCAAGTCCAGAAGGTTGCAAGAGTTCATACAATCAATATAGGCTTTAATTCTATACTCAGGCATAGGGTTTCCCCCAAATTTCTCTGATTGAGAAATAATATCATTGAAATCCCCAATGGCCATCCAAGGGCCACTGATATTATCAGAAAATTGGGTCATATTATCCCAGAGTAAACGTCTAATATCAAATTGAGGTCTACCATAAACAACAGATAAAAACCAATGGAAATTAGAGTAAGAAGGATGAGATCTTACCTTGACCATCGCATGGATGACTTGCCTTCCCCTAGAAAGGATGTTAATGGTGAAGCGAGTGTCATCCCAAAGTAACCAGATACCACCAGCAAATCCATCAACTTCCATAATCTCCCATCTAGGAAAACCAAGAGTTTGAGCAACTTCATGGGATCTAGTTTCACCCAACTTCGTTTCCATAACCACAAAGATACTTGGATTGTGTTCCCTTATGATCTCCATCACCATTTGTTTGAAATTAGGATTAGCCGCTCCGCGGCAATTCCATGAAATCACCTTCATTGACCACACTGAATTACTAAAAGAATTCATGACCCATCTGCCCAGTACTTGGTTCCACTAGACAGTGCCCATTCGTTGATTCTTGATCAACATGTTAACCTCTGGAAAATAATACGGGAGTAGGGTCTGAATGTAACGAGCCATCATTGAGCATTGTACTTCCTCCTGTCGGAGTACTAGATGGACCGTCTTCATGCGTCCTAACATGGAGATTTTGTTCAAGAATGGACTGAGGTGGGGGACGATGGTGATCTATGGCGAAATCTGTTCTTCCCAAATATCCCATCCCAGAATGTCCTCTTCCCGTCCCCATATGGCCCTAAAGGTGATGCACATGTTCAACCCCTGAAGTTGGGGAGGGAGAGGGATCCAGTCTGTTGGCGGAGGCAGATGCGGAATGGGGTCTATGTCCTTCAGAATAACAATTGGACTGACCCATTTCCTTGCTATACTATCCAGATCCCACCCTTCGATTGGAGGGGTTTCCTTTTGCAGTAACATTGATAGAGCCTTCTCCAATGGGATGGTCTTGTCCTCGTTGACTAGTAGGATGTCCCACACATGACTGAGTTTCTGGAATGAACCCAGATCCATGACCCACACTTCTATTGGAGCGGGAAGACTCAAGTTGTAGCTCCTGGCCATTGTGCAAGGATTTCAGTTGACTAAAGGGACATTTTAAGCTTTCCTTTCCACGTGTCTCTCTAGAGTGTGCCGTAATCTTATCTGGGGCCAAAATCTTATCTGTTCGTGATATTTGCTTATCCTACAAAACCAAATTAGGAGAGTTAGTGTGGGCTGAATCAACAAAGCCAACACTTACCTGAGTCACATTGTGGGCCGACCCAAGTTTTTGAAGAGGGTTTCCATTTTGATTTAGCTTTGTAGAGCCGTTGTTGTGAACGGCTATTTCATTAAAATGCTCTAGTACACGGACCGTTGGGTTTAGTTCCCATCTGTCTTTGTTCGTTCCGAGTTGAAATGGGTTCACTCACTGAGTTACGGTTTTGAGGAATGCTCTGTTTCTCATGTTGCATTTTGGTTTGGGGGATTCTACCATTTGATTTCTTTCTATTCTTCTTCCTTTCAACAACCATCCATGGTCCAAAGGAATTTTGATCACTGGAGACTGAATCAGTATTGTCGTTATTCATACTCAAGTCCATATTAGTCTCCTTATCAGTATCCATTTCGACAGGAACAAGAGGAACTTTTAATGGACAATTACTCTCTTTATGCCCAACGCATCCACAGGAAAACACAACGAGACAGGTCCTTCATAAACAACTTTCTGGATATGATTACCTATCCTGATACATGGTATTAGCGGTTCATCTAAATCCACTTGGATACAAATTCTAGCATACTGACCTCTGCTTTGGTGAGCCGTATGCGCATCGATTCTCAGTGGAGTACCCAGTAGATTTCCAATCCTTTCCAGAATTTGCCTGTCGTAAAATTCAATTGGGAGCCGAGGAAGTCTCGCCCAAATCGCCGTTGTGGTGAACGCTGCTTTCTCTGGGTTGAAGGAAGGTTCCCACTGTCGGATTGTGAGATAATATGGCCCTACAAACCAAGGACCTCCGTGTAGGACCCTCGCCAAATCCTCTCGTTCTTGAAATCGAATAAGAAAGAAATCCAAGCCAAGATCTATGCAGTCCAATCGACCCTTTGGCTTCCATTGAGCTTTAATTCTTGGGTACACAAAGTTATAACCAGCTCTGTCCGTCCCAAAAGCTTTGATTATTATAGAATTGACCCAGGGTGCTCGAATTCTCTTTTTCTCCTCCTTCGAGATGAGGATAGTGGGCATGGTACCATCATCTTCTTCATCTGATTCTTCTTCGAGGTAGTTGGGATTGGCAGACGTGTCGCAACTGATCTCAATTGGCTCGTTGCGCATCACCAAATCTTTGTACGAGATTGGCTGAGTAGGCTCCTCTATCATTTGGAAATCTTCTGCAATTGGGGGGTGATCATCCCCTCTAACTCGCTTTACAGAGCGACTCAGAAGATCGGATTCTTGCCTTGAAGGACGAGGGTTTGGTGCAGAGCTCATTGGAGAGTTTTTGTTCTTAATGACAAAGTGTAGTTATATTTTGGTTATATATTACTTGTGTGTTTGTGTGGTTTTATAT